GCGCACCCGCTGGGTCGGCCTGGCCTCGCAGCCCGGCGCGGCTGAGCGCCGAAGCCGCCGAGGGGCTGCGCCGCGCCGCCCGGGCCGCTGCGTGCAGTGGGCGCGGCGCGGCGGCGCGGCCGCGGCCGCGACCTGCAGCTCGGGGGCCCTCCCGCGCGGCTCCGCGGCGTGGCCCGACCGGCCTCTCCCCGTGCGCCGTCGCATCCTCTCCGCATCTTGGTATCGTTTAACCAATCCCTATCCCCATCCCCATCCCCTTCAAGACCCCCGCCAAATTACCCACCCCCCAGTTGGGGATACACCCCTCGGAACCCGAAGGGAACGGCCTATATCATATCCCCATCCAGGGGGGTAAATCGGCCAGTGGGGCCCAGGCCACGCCGCTGGGGATGGGGATTGGTTAAACGATGCTCAGCATCCTCGGGCCTGCCCCCCCTACGGCAGATTGGGTATCGTGACGACTGCGTCGTTGGATTCGAGCGCGGCGGGCGGCGATCGTGGGTGGCGGCAGAGCTGCGACGCCGCCTTCGCCGCGCCAGCTGCGAGCCTCTGCTGTCAGGTTTCGTAGGCGGGCCCGCCCGCGCGGAGCGCGTCCTCGTTTTTTTGTTTTTTTCCGTACCTAGGCTCTGCCTAGAAGGGTTCTTATTCTCTTAGCTTAAAGGGGCCGGGCAATGGAAAGCGCCCCGGGCGGTTCCCCCGGTCCCCGCCCCGCGGTTCCCCCAGTCCCCTGGGAGCTTTAGCTTCAGCTTTAGCTTTAGCTTTAGCTTTAGCTTTAGCTTAGCTTTAGCTTATCTTTAGCTTAGCTTTAGTTTAGCTTTAGCTTAGCTTTAGCTTAGCTTTAGCTTAGCTTTAGCTTAGCTTTAGCTTAGCGTTGGCTTAGCTTCAGCTTAGCTTTAGCTTAGCTTTAGCTTAGCTTTAGCTTAGCTTTAGCTTAGCTTCAGCTTAGCGTTAGCTTAGCGTTAGCTTAGCTTTAGCTTAGCTTTAGCTTAGCTTCATCTTAGTTTTAGCTTTAGCTGTATATTTAGCTTAGCTGTAGCTTAGCTTTAGCTTAGCTGTAGCTTAGCTTTAGCTCAGCTTTAGCTTAGCTTGAGCTTAGCTTTAGCTTAGCTTCAGCTTAGCTTTAGCTTAGCTTTATCTTAGCTTTAGCTTAGCTTGAGCTTAGCTTTAGCTTAGCTTTAGCTTAGCTCTAGCTTAGCATTAGCTTAGCTTTAGCTTAGCTGTAGCTTAGCTGTAGCTTAGCTTTAACTTAGCTTTACTGTTACTACTAATGCTGCTTTCCTAGGGGCTCCAACTCCTAGGTAGGGTCGCACTGGGATAATTTTGTTGTGTGTGTGTGTGTTTAGCGGGAGGGCTGTGTAGGGAGGAGGCAGGACATCGGCGATCGACATTCGAGGCATATCTCTGCTGTTGCCCTCTTGGGCAGTCTTGGGGGCCTCTCTGCGCCGACTTGACAACCCTCTTGGAGTACTCCAGGTCCGTCTTGGAGGCCATCTTGGGCGTCTTGGAGACCTCTTTGGCCGTCTGTGGGCCCTCTTGGGGCCGTCTTGGGACCTCTTGGGCCGTTATGGGGCCATCCTGGAGGCCTCGTGGGCAATGTTTCTGGGTACTTGGGCCGTCTCGGGCCGTCGAACGCCGAAAAAGAGCAAATGCCAAATGCTAATGGTTTTGGCCTCTTCGGGCCTTCCTGGAGGCCCTCTTGGAGGCCTCTTGGGCTGTCTTGGAGACCTCTTGGGGGCCTCTTGGGCCGTTTTGGGCCATCCTAGAGCCGTCGGAAGCTGTCTTGGGGGCCTCACTGGGCCGACTGGGGGCCCTCTTGGGGTGTTCTAGGGCCGTCTTGGAGGCCATCTTGGGCGTCTTGGAGGCCTCTTTGGCCGTGAGACTCCACACATCGCCCCAAGACGGTTCAAGAGGGCCCCAAGATGACCCCAGAGAGGCCCAACACGGCCCAAAAGAGCCCGAAGACGGCCCAAGAGGGCCCCAAGACGGCCCCAAGAGAGTCCAAAGAGAACCCAAATAGGCTCCCAAGAGGGCCCCAGGAGGCCCCCAAGAGAGCCGCAAGACGGCCCAGAATTACTCCAACAGGGCTCCCGAAGGGCTCCAAAAGGGCCCCAAGAAGACCCCGACGAGGCCCAAGAGACGCTCAAGAACTCCATGGCTCCCATCAGCGAGCGGTGACGTAACAAGCTCTTGACACCAAGGCTCCCCAGAGCGCGGTGACGTAACGAGCTTGTCACCGTCACACCAAGGCTTCCAAGAGCGAGCGGCAACAGAAAAGTGTCTGAACACCAGGGCTCCCAACGGAGAGCGGCGACGTAACAAGCTCTTCACACCAAGGCTCCCAAGAGCGAAGGGTGCCATGAGCCCTCTCGGGCCAGTTCCTGTTTCCGTTTCCGTGCCGGCCCAGGTCGAATGGCCGTTGGCCCTTTTCGCCATCCTGCCTGTGTTGTGGGTATGAAGCCTCTTGAATTTTCGTTGGGATCTCGTGGGAGGCCTCTCTGGGGCCTTTTGAATGCAGTTTTGAAGCCTCTCGGTGGCCGTTTGGGAGACTCTTGGGGCTTTTTGGGGGCCTTTGGGGGCCACTTCGGGGCCTCTGGAGGCCTCCTGGGGACCCCTTGGGGCGGAAGGCTGGGATTTTCGGCTCGTGCTAGCTTGGGCGCTCTTGGGCCGTCTTGGGCGCCTCCTTGGCCGTCTTGCGTTCTTTGGGGCCTCTTGGGCCGTCTTGGAGCGTCGGGAAGCCGGGAAGGAGAATGCCACACAGTTTGAAACACCAAATGACCATGACTGATGTTTTCATCTCGGGGCCCTCGGCCTCTTGGAGGCCTCTTGGGGCCCTCTTGGAGGCCTTTTCGCGTGTCTTGGGGCCATCCTGAGCGGCTTGGAGCGGTCGTTCGGCGACTCGGGGCCCTCTCCGACCGTCTTCGGGGCCAATTGGGGCCCTGCTGGCCCGTCTTGGGGCCCTCCTCGTGCCCGAAAGAGGGAGCACGCGCCAAGCCGGGAGAGGCCTCGTGCTTCTGGGCTGGGGCCCCTCAGAAGTCTTGGAGTCGGAGGTGGGTAGACCTCCTACCTTGACACGTCGATTGAGGAATTGGCCGGTTTCGGTTCGCGAGAGGGCGTCGCGGCCGTCATTTTTGCGGGTCCAGGTCCGTCGGTTTCGGTCCCAGGCCGTTTCCACTGAGGGGAGGTTTACGAAAGGGAGGCTTGTCCACCGCCGATAGAGGCCCCTCAGGGCTGAGGACTGAGGCTCCAGGGATCAGGCAAAGGACCAGATGCCACGCCCCGTCCGTGCCCAGCGGCACAGAGCCGGATGTATTCGTCCCCCCCCCCATGGTCGACGCGCGTGCGCAGAGACGTCAAGCGTCGTGGCGGGCGGTTGCTGGCCGGACCGCTCGGGAAACGACGCGGCAGAAGTTGCACACCTGCTGTACGTTCGGGTGGGTCGCATGCCTCCAATCGGCGGCGAGCCGGGGGGAAGTGAGAAGGGGCCTTCTCTGAAGGCTCGGACGTGCTCCGGCATTCTGAGAAGTCCTCTAAGCCTTCCCCGAAGACACTGACATTTCCCACAGGCCAGGGCGCTTCTGAGAAGTCCCGCCGCCTTCTGACGATGCCCTCTCCTTCTTCTGTTCCCCCCTGGCCCGCCGCCCTCGAGCGCGTCGTGCAGTACGCGAGTACGCGAGTACCGACATTGATTTGTGGGCGCTCGGCGGCACGCTCACAGCCGCCGCGGCCAGAGTGGCCTACGGCCGCGTGTTTGCGTCGTGAGCAGACGCAGGAGTGGGTGCAGTGTGCCACCAAGGTTGTTCAAAGAAGAAACAAAACCGTAAACATAATCTATTGGCGCTCCGCGCAGAGTTCTTGGATCTGCGCTGGGCCCCCCTGGCGGCGCTTTCGGCGCCGCCCCTGGCGCGCTCTGCGCGTCATGGAGGCGGCCCCAGCGCAGATCCAAGACAACCGCGCGGAGCGCCAATTAGTTTTCCCGATCAGAGTTTGCCTCTGTAGGGGGTCCTAGCGGATTTATATGGTTCGGTGAGGTTTGCCATTGATTTCCGCGGCCCGCCCGTGTGCCCGGGTGCCTTATAGCCCCATAGCCCTATAGCCCTAGAGCCCTATAGCCATATAGACCCATAGACCCATAGCCCTATAGCCCCATAGTCCAATAGCCCTATAGCCCTATAGCCCTATAGCCCTATAGCCCTGTAGCCTTTAGCCCTGGAGCCCTAGAGCCCTGGAGCCCTAGAGCCCTAGAGCCCTAGAGCCCTAGAGCCCTAGAGCCCTATAGCCCTATAGCCCTATAGCCCCATAGCTCTATATACCTATAGATGTATGGCCCTATAGCCCCATAGCCCCATAGCCCTATAGCCCCATAGCCCCATAGCCCTATAGCCCAACAGCCCCATAGCTCTATAGCCTAAAAAGAGTATGGTTGTTTTTTTTTTCTCCGGTATCATTATGTTTATGCTTTTTTATTGTTCTAGTTGTAGCAGTAGTGCCACCAAGTGTGCGTGCCCGCCAGCGGTGTCTTACCAGTATCTCCTCCTGCGTCCCGCGCTGGGGCATGTGTGAAGACCGCCGATCGCTCAGGAAAGAAAAAGGAACAGTTCCCGCTTGGCGCGCGGGCCCCGAGCTGGTCAGCACCGCACGTGGCGGGGGACGTCGTCGTCGTCGTCGTCGTCGCCGCCGGCATCGTCGCCGTCGTCATCGTCGTCGTCGTCGTCGTCGTGGTCCTCGTCCTGGTCCTCATGCTCGTCCCGCACCCAAATGGGCGGTGGGAGTCCAAGTGGTGGGAGGCACCGCCGACGGTTTCGGCTGCGGCGATGGCGACGACGACGGCGATGCCGTCGACGACGGCGGCTTCGGCTTCGGCGACGGGGGCGAGGACGGCGACGGCGGCGAGGGCGGCGACGACCGCGACGGCATACCGAAGAGCGGCGGCAGCGACGGCGGCGCCGGCGGCGGCGGCGTCGACAGCCATGCCGACGGCCGTGCCGGCGGCCCGCGGCGAGGTCCGCGTGCGCGGCCAAGAGCGTGTCAAGAGGCCGGGGTCCAGTCCAGAAGATCACGGACCTTCTGAAGGACCGCCCTCCCCCCACGTAAGTACAAGCCATACGCCATGCGGCGCGTAGGGGAAATTGGTTATAAAGTTGGAGCGCGGCGCGCCAAACGCGCGCAGGATATGAGAAAGCATACCAAACGCATGCACGGCGCAACAGACACGCCAAACACGTGCCGGAGGAAGGAGGAAGGACCGCCCTCCGACCCGGATTATCCCGCCGCTCGAGTCGAGCGAAGATGCACGGGGACCACGGCCAAGATGCACGAGGGTGGTCCACGAAGTGATGCTGGCCCAGATCGAGGGCGACGAAGAGCGACACCACGTGTCCTGGTTCAGTCTCGGTCATGGTTCCCGCTTGCTCCCCCCCTCCATCAAAGCATAGAGGCGGCGTTTCCTGCAGCCAGCTGGGGTTCTGGGGTGGCCCAGCACTGGTTACGGATTTGCCCCTGGCCTCTCCGTCTAGACTTAAGTCGGGCCTGTCCCTCTACAGGGGGGGGTATTCAAAAATGGTAAGAAAATAGTCAGGGGACGATTTTGTTGACTATTGTTGATCATTTTTGGTTCATTTTTGGGGGTATTGCGAAGGCCTTACGGCCGACGCCGCCGACCCTGTAGGCAGCGACGACGAAGACAATGGAGGCAGAGGAGTCCAAGATGCCCTCAAATGGCTCGAAGACGGCGCCAGATGCCTGCAAGGTCGTCCGAAGACAGCTCAAGAGGCCTCCTCCAGGGTCCGGGAACGGCTCCACAGAGTGCCAAGATAGGCAAAGAGCACCCTCAAGTGGCCCGAGAGGGTTCCAAGACGGCGTCAAGCGAGGTCCAAAAGCGCCCGCAGAGGCTGTAAAGAGTGCCGCCAGAGCTTTCCAAGAGAGTCTAAAAATGGCGAAAAGTCTCCAAGGAGCCTTACGATAGGCTGAAAGGGCCCGCAGGCGGCCCCGTAGGGCCAACGGAGCCCCAGGACGCAGGAGGATGAGAGGCGGGGGGCTGCGTATCCGAGGGGGGACCCCCCCCGGGGAGTTGCTCCGGGACCCCCCCCCCCGGGAGTTGCCCCGGGACCCGCCCCCCCCAGCGGGGAAGGGATCAAGGGAAGGGGCTTCCCTTCGACTGAAGGACAACGTTGTTCAATTTTTGTGTGGGGTTGTGTAGGGAGCCCTCGGAAAGCAGAACAGACGACGCTGTGGGGAAGACGGGAAAGCCTCTCCCACACGCCGACAGGGCCGGCGGGTTCTTGGATGCATCACTAGGCATGATTGCGTAACTCAGGCTCAGCGCCGAGCTGTTCCTAAGCGTAGGAGGAAGCAGACGAGAAGCAAGAGGAGGGGGAGCAAGGGAGGGGAGGAGGAGGAGGAGGAGGAGGATGAGGAGGTGGAGGCGGAGGCCGTTTTGGTGTCTCTTGGGGCATCTGTGCGGCCTCTTGGGGGCCTCTTGGGGCCTCTTGGGGGCCTCTTCGGGGTTTCCTGGGGCCTCTTGGGGGCATCTTGGGGCCTCCAGGGCGCTTCTTGGGGCGGAAGGCTCGGATTTTTGGTTCGGGCTCCCCGTCTTGGGCCCCTCTTGGGGCCCTCTTGGTCCGTCTTGGTAGCCTCTTGGGTCGTCTTGGCGCCTTCTTGGGCCGTTCGGGGTGCCTCTTGGGAGCCTCTTGAGTCGTGTTGGGGCCTTCTTGGGGGCTTCTTCGATTGTCTTCAACGCCGTGAAGGCCGAAAAGTCGTATATACCAAACGTGTACGTCCTCCTATGGGGGATCAATGATTTTGGGCTCTCGGGAAGAACTTCCTTGGGAGGCTCCGGGGCTACCTGGAACCATCTCGGAAGCGTTCTTGGAAGCCTCGAAACGCTTGAGGAGGAGGAAGGACCAGGACGACGACGAAGAGGAGGCAGACGGAGAAGCCTCTTCCACACGCCGACAGGGTCGGCGGATTTTTATTTTTCGTCCACAATCGGCCTGTAGGGGGACATGCCCGACCTAATTCTAGACAGAGTTTCTCGATGTCCATCCAGTTTCGACCCTCTGGCCGCCTCCAAGGCGTTTCTGCCACAGTCTGTCGGGAGAGGGAGGAAGAGTATAAACGATACAGTCAACCATGATAGTAAGGATGGGACAACTTCCCAAGGCTACCCCTGCATCCTTACTCCTTCGGTATTCGGCATCCTTCGGCATTCTGCTGCGCTCCGCACGGAAAACGTCAACATGGCGTTCCAAGGCCCTTGCATCCTGACCGCGCATCCTTACTATCCTGGTCGACTGTACGCCACCAGCCTGCTGCTCCTCCGTCTTCGTTCGGAGACTTGGTGTCTCGTCGACTGTTGCACGCTGGTGGGTTCCCCAGAGCAGCGTGTCGATGATACTGTTTTTGCTCCCCCAGTTTGGGGCCTTGGGAGTTGTCCTCGTGCCCTGTGCCGTTGGATACGGCTCGGGTCGAGAGGTCCATGGGGTCACGTCTTGAACATACTCAGACCGAGCTGGTGGACATCTGGCTTGCTCCCCACTCCTTCTTCTCTCTTCCATCTCCGGAGAGCAAAACCAAACCATCCTGTCAGCCAGCGTGGATCCAACACAGTGCGTTTCTAGCAGTCTATGTTGTGCAGTCTGTTGTGCAGTCAGTGTGGAGCAATCTATGTGGCGCAATCTACGTGCTGCAAAATAGCTTGTGCAACCTATGAACGATAGATGCTGCGCAATATATGTTGTGCAATCTCTGTTGTGCAGTCTGTGTTGTGAAAGATATGTGAAACCATCGATGTGTGCAAGCCATGAGAGGCACTTATGTGGCGCAAGTTTTGTGGTGCAATCTAGGTTGTGCGATCTACGTCGTGTGATTAATGTAGTGCAATCCATGTGGTGTAATCAATGCCGTACAATATGTGTCGTGCAATCGACGTGTGGTGCATTCTATGTGATGCAATCAATCACTTGCTCAACTTGAAGCTGTCCTCTCCACTGCTCGCGCAAACATCCCACCCTCCCACCCGCAACTTGGTTCGCAAAACCTCTTAAGACCGACTACGACGACACCGACGACAACGACGACGACGACACCGACGACGTCTCCGACGACTTCGACGACGACAACGACGCCGACGCCGACGACTACGAAGACGACGACGACGACGCCAACGAAGGCGACGACGAGGGAGGAGGAAGGACGACGACGGCGACGACGACGACAACGACGACAACGACGAGGGAGGAGGGAGGACGGCGACGACGCGAACGACGACGAAGGAGGAAGGACGGCGACGCCGACGACGACAACGACGAGGAGGAGGGAAGACGACGACGACAACGACGACGACGACGGTGACGAAATAGAACCGACGACGAGACGCCGACGACGGACGACGACGACGACGTGGGAGGAGGAGGACGGACGACCACGGCGACAACGACGACGGAAACGACCACGACGCCAAAGAGGACGACGACGAACACGAGAAAAGACAGAAGACGACGTAGGTGACGACGACGACGACGACGCGGGAGGAGGGAGGACGGCGACGACGACGACGACGCAAGAGCGCGCGCACGCTTTTGTTGAAAACCCGTGTGGCGAACCCTTAGGTTTTTGTAGGTTTCTTGGACGCACGATTTTGAAATCCTTCCGCCACCGATGGGTTTTGAAGGTTTTCGGCATACGCCCGCGACGACGCGCGCGTCTGCACTTCGTCTAATTTTTTGCAGAGGATTCTCGCGAAGGCACACGCGCAAGGGCGTTCGACAGATTTCGACATGCACGCGCGCGAAGCCCGTTTGGTAGGATTTTGTGAAAATCTTGAAAAACCATGTGTCTTTGTATGTTTTTTGGGAAACTCGATTGCGAAATCCTTCCGGCACCGAAGGTTTTTGAAGGAATTCGGCATGCGCGCGCGACGACGCGCGCGTGCGCTTTTTGTCCAATTTTTTGCAAGGGATTCGTGAACAAATGTTATGTTTGAACAAAAAATGTCACTGCATAGTGTGTTTTACAAGGGAACTTCAGGGGGGGAAACCGGCCTAGCTGGGATGGTATGATTTCATAATTCGGATGGACGAGTGTGCAGAAAATATATGAAATCATACTATCCCAGGGGGAACCGATAAGTCCGAGGGAGTAGAGTCTAACTATTCTGTTTTTTGAAAAGAGAATCTATGTTGTGTCGACGGGACTGGGCGGCGACGGCGACAATATAGCCGCCAGACCGACCCCCGGGCCCAGCCGACGGGCGGCGACGAGGCGGCGACGGTGCGGCGACGGCGACAGCGCAGCCGCCAGGCAGGCCCCCAGGCCCAGCCCTCTTGAGAACAGTTGGGAGCCCCCCCGCAGTGCCAGCACCGTCCGGGGGAAGAGGCACCATCCCTCGATCCACGGAGCTCCGCGAGGACCTCTCTGATCGGCTCTGGGCCCCCTTTCCCTTCGCCCGCCGGGGGGCGGCGCCAGAAGCGCCGCCAGGGGGACCTCCCTTTTCCTCCCTCCCTTTTCCTCCCTCCCTCCCTCCCTCCCTCCCCCTCCCTCCTCCCTCCCTCCCTCCCTCCCTCCCTCCCTCCCTCCCTCCCTCCTCACTCGCCCCCAGTCATCGCCGCCAGGGGCCCGACTGCCCACCCCGCCCAGGAGCGTGCGGATTTGCCATCGGGGGCCTGCCGCCGGTCCGTCGGCGGGGCATCGCCGACTGCAGGTCGGTCGGGCGGCGAGCCCAGGGGGGGAAGCGAGAGGGAGCAGACCTTTTCAGGAGGCGACGGGGCTTCTCAGCCTCTGCCTTCGGAGGAGGCTTACGCACCGCTGCCTCAGGCCCCAGGCCTTCCGAGCCCTCCGAGCCTTCCGAGCCTTGTGAGAAGGCCCGCCCCCTCTGCCTTCCCCCCTGGTCTCGCCGCCGATCGATGTTATTCAGGAGGGAAAGAAACACACAGAAACAATTAATCGTCGGTCCCCAAGAAAATATGGGAAAACATGGGAAATGGGGGGGAAGACAAAACCCAGAAAATATAGGAAAATATGGGGAATCTTTTTATTTTTGTGTTTTTTTTGTGTGTCCCAGGGCCCCTTCAGTT